CATGGCCCCTGACACAGAGGGAGCAGGAAGGGGGATTATTCCACCCTCTACCCCCACTACTCCTGGGGGACTGCTGCTGGGATCTGCACAACCCAATTGCTGCTGCTCACTCCCTGCTTGGGGCAAGTGGCAGAATAACCACCCTCTCTACCACCCACCTAAGGAGCCCTGCTGGCCTGCGTCTGGCTGTACCCCTGCCCTGCTATTGGAGTGGTGAGGGGGCAGGGCTCTTAATCGGGGCAGCAGCCCCTGTCATAGTGTTGGGAAGCATGAGCCTCTTCCTGGAGGGGGCACCGCATTGCAGGGTGGGCAGAGCTACGATGGACTCCACACAATAGCACCAGGGCTCAGAGGGAGCCCGAACCCCCCTAGCACAGCCACCACTACCAACACAGCCACAGTCCACAGCAGCTTTCCCAACCCCACTACACAGTTCCCCCCTCCAGGAAGAGGCTCATGCTCTGGGAAACCGTGACAGGGGCTGCTGCCCCTCTCACAGTTGCTCCTCCCCTCACCGCTCCAGCACTTAGGCAGAGATGGCCCCTTATGTGAGAGGGTAAGGTTATTCCCTGCTCTGCCCACAGTGAGGTCTGCCCACTTTGACCACTGCCACCACTGCTCGCTCTGTGCCCAGGGCGAGTGGCGGGATAAGCCCCCTTCTGCTCCCCTCCCTCCAGGGTCTGGCAGAGGGAGCAGGAGAGGGCTTATTCCACCATTTGCCCCAAGCAGGGAGCGAATGGCAGCAGTCAGGACAGGCATATCCCAGCTGCAGTCCCCTTGGGGCAGTGAGGGTAGAGAGGGGAATAACCCTCTATCTCTACCTTGGTGGTCAACATTTTTGTACTCAAAGCACTTCTCATTGGACGTGAGGCACCCTTCCATAACTTTTGTTAATTGAGTGGCACCCAATTTCAAAGACTAGTTTATGTATTACAGTGCTTACCTCCTTACACAGGGCTGGGCATGAGGGCTAAGTACAGACAGTCAAAAATCCCAGTGCTGAATTGATTTGATCTTTGAAGGTTACTGTAAGATGCGTACATTGAACTGTAAGCAAGTGAACAGACATTCACTTTTCATACTGGAAATGCAGCCACATGCCTGCAGTGGCCTAGGCCAGAAGCCAGGGGGTGCTTGAGCATGCTTTGCTACTCAACTAGAGCAGATAGTTTAAGCCAAAGCTAGCCTGGCCATCCTGTGAGCAGGGGAGAGTTGCTGGGGAGGTGTAAAGCATCCTAGGATGCTGGGGGACTGTGAGTTAACTTGAATCTGGAGGGGATCTGGGACAGAAGTTCAATAAACTGATTTAACCTAAATCAGTTCAGTCTGATACTACATCCATGCAGGTTTATCTTAAACCAGTTTTGGCCACTTTGAAAGTGGTTTATGTGCACTGAACTTCTGTTGAATTGCAGACTTGAACTGGTTTCTGATCACTTATATCAGTTTATGTGTAATTTCGGTCTCTAGCCTAGGGATAGGGGATTGTCAAGGCAGGGACAGGCCTGAGCCTGGCTGATCTGTTTAGTTTATCTGCTTATCTTCTAACATTTTGCTTATTTCCTCACACCCTCATAGCACCCTTCAAAGGATTTGGTAGCACACTGGTTGAGAATCAGTGTTATAGCTAAACCACAAAGTTCCCTTTATTTAACAACCTACTTATGGTATATCTACACCAAGTCCCTGGCACTCTCGAGGAGGGATGCTCTCCATCATGCCTTAACCACTCACTCCGGTTTGCCTAGGTGGCTTCACTGCTGTTTTTCCAAGTTTATCACATACCTAAAATGCTTTGTATTATTATTACCTTTTGACCCTCCCCAAGAGTACTGGGGACGCAATTTAGCTATACTCCTCATTTCTCTGTCCTCACTTCCCCAACTGCAAAAGGAGGACAGCAATGACTTTTTCCTTCTCTCATAATGTTCTGTGCTCCTGTTTAATTTGTCTTCCCTCAATTACTGCAAATGAAAATAGCAATATTTGTTTTCCTTTCACAATTTCCTGTGCTGCTTGTTTGGATTATGAGCTCTTTGGTGCAGGAATTGTGTATGTTGAGCATCTGGTAAATATGGTTCTGATTTTGGTTGGGGCCACACAGTAATATAATTATACAACTAATAATTACAACTAAAATGAAAGCTCAGAGGTCGAATTTATTTTGCCAGTTGATATATGGTAAAACATTTTCACATGTCCTCAGATATTTGACATGATTTTCCATGTTTACAGTCCTGATTCCATATTTTTCATTCATCAAAGGTCTTCTAAAATTCATGACAATATTCCATTGTCCAAAAGAAGCCATAAATACCAGTGCAGTTTCCTATGAGCTGCCATATTGGGCTAGATCATTTCAGTAGTCCAAGCACAGACATTGGCTAGTGCCATCTGCTTCGCAGGCAGGGGTAAGAGGAGTCACCTGACTCAGAACGAAGACTGGGTTTAAATCAGGTATAAGTCCAGACCCTAAGAAGAGCCCAGCAATAAGATCTGGAACATGAATGACTGGTGCCTCCTGAGACTGGGGGTGGCGGGGCACCATGGTAGTGAGTGAGGACCACCCGCAGCCGGCGGCAGCGGTGTCAGTGGCAGGGGGGGGGGAGGGGGGGGAAGTGACAACCACCCACAGAAGCCGGCGGTGGCTTTGGCAGTGGCCAATCTCAGGGGGGCACGTGCCCCCTCCCACCCCCCGTGCCCCACCTACACACCGCCTATGATCTGGAGTCTACTTAGAGAACACCACCCTAGGAGGGTCATAGCTTTGGAGCACCAGCACAGAGAGGATAGCTGAAGCAATCTGGAGGCTTGGGTAGGAACTAAGTAGCTAGGGCAGGTTCCTAGGGACTGGGGTCTGGGTGAGCTCAGAGTGAAGGGCTCAGCACACAAGACCTAATGTTGTTGGCCCTGAAGACTGTCCTTGTTATTTAAATAGTTATTCTTTGCCTTTAGTTGCAATTGGTTCAAGGTATAAAGGAAGTTTCTATACATGCACTCTGTACTGTATAGTAAGACTGTTCCAGAAGGAGTGACCTTTAGACCTTCTAACTCAGGCCAATGTGCTGAGCATGTGCTCTGATCAGAAAGCACGGGGTCATTTCTAGTTCAGCATGATTGACAGGTAATATGCCACATACAGATGTGTGAAACATCATAGTGCCTCATGCAAAAGTATAGTAGCCTATGCGCTATATGTTGATTGGAGGGAATTATCATTTTGGTGGGAATTTATGTGCCATGTGCACAATTTAGTGTGGAGTGAAAAGATGCAAGTGTTGTGTGCATTCTAATAGGCTACCCGCCCCAAGGTAAAAGTTACAAAAAGAAGTTTTTCCTGAGAGTCAGTCAGTCTGCTGGTTCTGCTCAGTTCTGGACGGGTTGGATAGTGGTTATGGTCTCTAGTTCTCAAGGATATATCTAGTGTGTGGTTGTTGCTGCCACTGAAGATGCATTTTGCTGGTTCTGAGAGTTGTTTGAGAGTTTTTTCAGCTCCACTCTCTCATAGTAGGACAGATAATGTATAACCCTGGGTGTATATAATTCTCCCCATGCTTCCTGTGTTATTGTTTTGTCTGTAATTATTGTATATAGTTATCTGTATTTTAATATGCCGTTTGATTTTTTAAACTTTTATTTTGGTGTCCCTGGGTAATGATCCCTATAAACCAGGCTGGGCTGCCTACCCCAGCAGTAGCTAAGTCAGCCTGGGCCACTCGTGTTCCCTTCCTGTTTACTGTAATTTCTTTAACTGAAGCCTTTTGGTCCTTGTAACTTTCTCTTGGCTACTGTGTGGGGTCCAGGTGAAACCCAAAGAGAAGAGCTCAGTGCAGGAAGCCGATCTGAGTAGGAAGGCCCGGAAGAGAAGGTGGCAGAGGGAGTGACCCAGAGAATCTCACTGGGCTGTTAACGGGGCCAGGGGCCAGAGAGGGGCTGAAGGCTGGAGGCAGCCACAGCGGGAGACTGCCGGAGCCAGAGAGGGGCACGGAGTTCTCAGCTGGCCCAAGGTGGGGCCAGAGTTTAGGAGAGACCAAAGGTCCAGATGTGGCCATAGTCAGAGAGGAAAGGGTTAGAGAAACTGAAGCCCGGAATGAGGGTGGCTGGTATAGGGTCATCAGATGTAGAAGAAGGTCCAAGATTGCCCCAAGACCAGGGGGCCCAGAAGTAGGAGAACCAGGGTCTGAGAACCTGGAGGAAGAAGTGAGCTGAGTCCAGAAGGGGACCAATTGAAAGCCAGTAAGACCAGGGCCTAAGAGAGAGAGCCAGGGCCGAGGGAGCCTGGGGGGTGGTGAAGGGCCAAGGAGCTTGTAGCCCTGGAGGGGTCAGGGTTGTTGAAGAGGGACAGCATAGTCCTGGGGATAGAGGCTAGGGACTAAGCTGGTCCTGGGTATCACCAAAAATTGCACTTTACTGGGATCTGGGGTCACTGTGGTGGGATTGCTCATGGCAGAGCAACCCCTAGAAAGTGTCCCAGGGAAGGGCGAGTCTTGGCTCAGATCAAGTGTAGACCTGTACCTGGCATGGGAAATACCGTGACCACTGAGAACCCAGAGTGGGGCTGAGAGATGTTGAGGGGTCTGAGGGCCTAGAGAAGGGCTGCGTGTGAGAGAGAGAAAGAGCATCAATGAGGATGCCATCTGCGAGGCTTGGGGCGTGGTGTAGGGGCCAAACAGAACCATGCAATTGGCCCATAAGGCCTTGACTACAAATCTGGTGGTCATTATGGTGAGACCAGGGCAGCCTCCCGCATTCTTCATAACAATTAACATCAAAGTGTGGTGGGCAAGAGCAGGGCAGATGGCCCATAGAACAGGATACAAGTAAATTTTGTTGTCTCCACAGGGGCTTTACGACCAGCCCTGGAGATGGTACTCTGTCATATTCTTGCCTTGCCAACTTCTTCCAAATCCCGTAAATATGTAGTTGATGTGTTGAACTCTGAGCATCTCCATCCTATAGGTTGTTTTAGTATTTATTAGTTCAGTGAAACTTTTAGTATCTTAAGATTTTTATTTATTGTTAGCCATATAGGACAACAGAAACATTGGGATGTCTTTCTGGACTCCATCAGTATTTTTCAGGAAGACCCTCTGGCCTGTAGCGGTTGGGGTCTCCTCCACTTCTGCCCCATTGATTTGCCTCCTGGTCTGCCAAAGTGTCTTCTGCTCCTCTGCCACTAACTGAACCCTGCCAATTTTCTCTGGCATCACTGGAAAGTGGATAAAAAATAAAAAGGTTATTTAAGTAATCTGTACTTAAATGCCAGTGAACAAATATTTACCCTTCCCTTATTCATCTCTATTATTCTCATTTGCCATAGACTTTTGAGGTCACACAAGGACCTCTGCCTGTCTGGAATAATAGGAGCCATCTGATGACTGTGAAACAAGCTAAGCTGGCCCTACTCACAAAAGATAAAATCAATACCGATGACAATTGCATAGCACAAAAGGATGTGAGTTCACGGCTAGGCTGTCTGAGAAGAAATAAATGAGGTATCACTTCTAGCTTATCTTACTATAGTCATGATGATTTTAAGCAGGCTCCTGGTTTTCTTGTAAGTACCTGTGTAAAATGTCTATTCTTGATTATTTAGTATGGTAAACATTTCTTTTACAATTAACTTGTGTTTATGTGTGTCACAACCCAGTGATTTTTTTGTGCCTCGGCACTATGGAATTTCTTGGCCACATGAGAGCTCCTTTGCACGGCAGAGTGTTCTGCTGCAATTGAGAACCTGCGTGTAGGAGAGAGTTCCCGCCAATTTGCAGTTTCCTTTGCAGGATGCATTTCTTCTTTGCAGCACAGAAATGCACGGTGCAAAGAGTTCCCGCCATTCGAATGTAAATTTGTGTCCTGCCATTGGCCAGTGCTAAATTATTCATACATGGCAGCTAGTAATTGGCTCGCTGGCTGTTTAAAATTCCGTGCGACTTCTGCCCAAGTTGAAGAGCTTTGAGCACGCTGCAGAGTGCCTCTGAAGTTATCTGACTTGCAGCTGCCGATCGATAG